CCTATGTATTTTTTTGGAGAAGCCAAAATACAGGATTTAGCGAGAACATTTAGCAGCTGCTGGAAAAATCAAAGTTCAAGGTGAAGCAGTCTCTAACATTCAGGAAAACACACAAACCCCAACTGTACAAGAGGAGAGTGAAGAGGAAGAGGTTGACGAAATAGGAGTGGAAGTTAAGGACATCAAATTGGTCATGTGACAAGCAAATGTATCTAGAGCAAAGGCAGTCCCGGCCCTAAAGAACAACAGGGTATTATTGTAAACGCCCTTATGGACGGAACAATGTAACCATCTGAAAACAAGGCCTTTTTTTTTTTTTTTTTTTTTTTTTTTTTTTTTATCAGAAGAGTAAGGGTAGTTTGGTTTGGACTTCATCCTTTTTTCTATCATTCTTGTTGGTTGGAAAAAAAAAAAAAAAAAGTTATTTGGTGGGAGCTGCAAACACCATGGGTGAAAAGGTGATGACAAAGCAATTGACTGCACTGCGGCCAACAGACTGCAGATCCAACATTAGGAACAGCAGCTAGCCGCCTGATGCACCTACTCTGGAAACCTAGCTAGAACATCCAGGAGAATTGCCAAGGTACATTCAGAAGAACAGGAAGTCCTCTATCACTTTAGTACAAACCTGAGAGCTAATTTCCCATGTGTCAAGCTTTAAAGCCAGAGCAACCTTGTTTGAGAAGGCCTCATTATCATATACCCATGGTATCTTGTTTTTTAGATTTTATAAAACTGCCAACATCATTTGTTCTGAGCCATTATTCATGGTGAGTACTGCTTGCTAAGGTAAAGGCATTTGACCTGATTATATAAACAGTAACAAGAGACTTGTTTAATGAAGCTCGTTATAAAATATGCAAACTCTTTTCTTCCTTTCCTCTCCCTAAAATAAGTTTAGCATATCACTTACCAATTCATAGCTCCATAGGGTACTAAGTAGTTCAAGAAGTCTGTGAAAAGTACTATCGAGTATAAAAAAGTTTGTAAACAAAATAAGCTGTCAATTCTTAATGACACCATTCTGGAACTTTCCCTCAAATTATACTGAGTTGGCTATAGTTAAGTCTCTGGCTCAAATCCAGAAGGATTTCTTCCTCTTGCCCCATCAATACTGGATGGTCATCCATTATGGATAGAACTGTTTCACTGATGATTTAGACCGAATTTGTGGTACCTGATTTGTTTATTGAAAAGCTATAATAATTCATGCTTAAAATAAGTGCATTCTTATATTCTGATGTGAGGGTTGAAAGAAAATGTTGTCAGGTGCCCTCAAGTTGGTTTCAATTTATAGGGACCCTAGTTGGAGTCCTGGTTTGGCACTGTGGGTTAATGCGCCAGACTGCAAAGCCATTTGAACTGCAAGGTCGGCAGTTGAAGTTCACCAGCTGTGCCTCGGAACCCTATACGGGGTCGCTATGGGTCACAACTGACTCAATGGCACTTCACAATAACACAGTGCAATAGAACAAAACGCTGTCCAGTTCTGAATCATCCTCAAATCGTTATTTTTGAACACCTTGTAGCAGCCCTGTGTCGATACATTTTATTGAGAGTCTTCCTCTTTTATGCTGACTGACCTTCTACTTTAACAAGCATGCTGTTCTTCTCCAGGCGCTTCCAGAGACTTCTGATAACTGTTCTAAGTATGGGAGATGAAGTCTCGCCATCCTAGCTTCTAAGAAGCATTATGGTTGTACTCCTTCTTAGACAATACCACGATGCTTTTGATAAACCAAGTATCTAATCTACCTCGTGAAATATATGGTCTTAAGTGGTACTAACCAATGAAGTGAAGCATCCATGCAAACCAGTCCATAGAAGGCTGTAGGTACATAGGTTGGAAGGGAAATTTGGATGACTGCGGACCTCTAACCCCTCTTAATTGGGGAGGGCAGTTCTCTACTCCTGCTGCTATGACTTAGCTTCTTGACTGCTTTTGTTAAGGCAATTCATTAAATAAAAGGAGAATTGAAGTTTTGTTAAATTCCAATAAAAATAAAGGTTAAATATTATAAAACAGAAAGAGATGAGATTTTAGACAGAAGGTAATAGGTTCCAGCCAATGAACTGAAAGGTTACAATATTTTCTTAAGATAAAAAGGTTAGAATAAAAGGCTAAAACCCATGAGATAAAACATTTTAAATCATCCTGTAAATCTAAGGACAGAATCACTTAAAAAGAACACTGTGCATTAAGTA